TGAAAACGAGTGGTGTAAACCGGCAAGGGCGAGCGCGCGCCCGGAACAAACAGTCTATTACTCTTACACTATATACAACCCATGTCCGACAGTCTTATGGCGCTCTTGTTTCTGGTTTTATTTTAACCGGCACGGCTTATTCTTACTCAAATACTAGTTTCGCAACACAGGGAGCGACTTTAATTTAAGTTGAACACCTTTGTTAGACTGTCTGGGACGAATCTGACGCGCGCTGATAGTTCTAAATGCCGTCATTTCACGTCACAAAGGAAACGTTAAACAACATTTACAAGGAACTGAAGTTTCCGTGAACAGCTCTTCAAGTGGGAATAGTTATTAATTTCTGCATATGCGATGGGAGCAAGTGTTAACGACCATGTTAACGAAGGTTTGTGACAATGATTTTTCCCTTGATTTTAATTGCAATTTGATGGATGTTATGCTAAATCACCCGACTCACTTAACATCTTTAAAAGGCGACTTGTCAAACAACTTGTTCCCATTCAATAATTAAATTTAAATAGCTCATCCTATCCCGTGATGCATTATTTTCATTTTGTGATTAATTTCTTATACATTAATTATTTCCTACTTTTTATTACTATTATTATTTTTTACCAAAAATTTGACTCGAAACTTATAAGCCCTTTTAGGGAGTTACAATAAAATATGTATGCTTGTTTGTATGGCATGCGTAAAATGTAACAGTAATGATGTATACGCGCCTACTTCGTTTTTCAAAGACTTACACAAACGACAAAATCCGCGGCAAAGCCAAACGGCTGCATGCCGAACAAATTTCTTATTACAACTGCTTTTAAGTTATTCTTCATTTCTTCAATGATCTACTGTGTCTCGTGTCCCCAAATCAGTCGTCGGTGGATTTAAATCGTTGAGGAGGCTTTCAAAAACGCTTTTCCTTGAGCTTGCTATTGACCTATACAAAAATCGACCTCATAGTGTAATTATTGAATATAGTTTCTCGTAAACTTGACTTTTCCTTTTTAAAGTTACGCTAACAAATTTGTATTACTTCTGTTGCAAAAACGATATTGCACATGTTTCCTTTCCATGTTTTGCTGTGACTAGTGTTCCATGTTGTTACGACCAATGAGCGTTTCCGCAGACTACCTACCCTGTTCCAGGCTCTCAGACTGAGTGGAGAAGACGCAAAAGTGAAAGGTATGCGAAAAGTTGGCAGTTTCCTCCCTTTTTTTCATGTTCGCTCTTTCTTAATCCCCTCGGAGCTGCCTCGGAGCATGGAACAGACTAGAGACTGCCAGAACATAGTTACGGTGGTTCAGCCCTCGTGCCAATATGACGTCACGTCGTTTCGCTTCCGTGACTTTTCAAAATGGCGGGCAAATTAAAGTCGTCTTCGAGGAGGAACAAGAAGTTATTTGAATTGCGCATTACTCTTTTATTTTATTTTCAACACCGAGATGATTGCTGAACTTTTAAATTTTTAGTTCAAGTTTAAAAAGACTTCAACTAAAACCAGAGGTTATATTTACCTCCAAAATTCCATTGCGGTATAAGAAAAAAACTCCCAAACGAGCTGCAAAATTGATAATTGATAATGATATGAATGGAAAAGGGTACAAGCTTTTAGTGAAACGATTTCTGCTATCGTCTGGTTGGGAAATGAGCCCGCGCTAGGACCGAGAGTGCGAAGGAAATCGAGCCTAAACAGTGAACTGTTCGTGTACAGCTACTTCAAGAGAGGTTGTTGGGAAAAGTGCACGCGACAATCCCGAAAGGAATTGTGCGTGGTTTTGAGTTAACTGTTCCTCAAAGAAATTTGAAAGAATGACACGAAGGCCATGGACGTATGTTTGCGAATGCTAAAGGAAAGCAACAAAAGTAGGTTCGACAACTACATTGTCAGGAACAGTGTATTGGTCATATCCCATATTACCTTTCGGGATTGTAGCGTGCACAATTTTTCTCACAACCTTTCTCGAAATAGCTGTTTATCAAAATCGCACTATTAGTTGTCTGCTGAACCACCCTTTTTTTCCATCACCACATGGGCACCTTGGATCCCGCAGTAAATCAAGGGCCACAATGGGAACAGAACTCTGCCCACAGCACAGTAAGATGAGTAATACCTAAGGAAGACCTTGATTTCGAAGTATTTTAAATGAATAATAAAACAATTGTTGGATTCGGCTTTCTTATGATATGAATATTTATGCTTCGGCCTCCGGCGGTATAAACACCCTTTCTCGATCTGCATAATTCTTCATACCATACTCACCCAAATCCAGTAATTGGTAATTAACAATATTGTCCCTTGTAGTTGTAAATAGCGTGCGTAAACGTTACTAATTAAAAATTCCATTGCGCACGTCACCTTCCATAATTTTTGCTTCAAAAGATAGAAATGTTGAGATTTATGACGTGACGTTTCGATGACCTCTTTCGTGCAATTTTCGTTCATTTGAATGTTACTTTTGGCGAGTAAAAAGATGCTTTCATTACTTCTTAAAAGAAAAAGGAATTTAACAGCGCGGACGTTCAGATTTCATCACAAAGGAAAAATTTCCTAACAGATTCCCCCCCCCACCGCTCTTGCCAGATAGGCATATTATATTATATATCAGAAATGAGAGATGTAACTAAATCAGGATCACGCAGTATGCCAGTTATGTCATGACACGCGGGAAACTATAATAAGGAACTTAAGCAAAGGTGTTTTTGAGTGCGAAGAAAGTCATCTGGAAGTGCGGCCTTTTTCCCTTTAATGTGCCTTGACGGTACCAAATAGGCCATTTCAGAGTTGCTTCAAGCCTCTGATTGAAAGCGAGGCTTAGTGCAAAGCCATTGATTTGGAAATGATTTTTATTCTTATGCAAATAAAACTCTTTTTCACAAAAAAAAGTTGTGCACTTGACCTCGTAGAAAGAGAGAGTTTTTGGAACTCGGAAATGGCTTATTCACATTGCTGGGTGCCTTTACTCTTAAAGAGACAATTTTCTCTAAAATTTAACAAAACCACTCCCCAAGAATGCAAAAAGTCCATTTCCGTTTGATGTGCGTCGCTGAAAAACGTCTTTGCCAAAGCTCCCTAATACCACGAGCAAACACGATAATAACACCAAACTCGAGACTTCGTTAAAAAACTCCGCTTTTCAGCTGAATTTAAAATATTCTTTATAAAATAAAATTTGTCCTCTGTGACTGAATAATTGACTGGTTGAATCCGCTTTACACCAGTTGTGGAGATAAAGAAAGATCAACGGTCTGAGATGTGCGTTTGACACGAACCTTTCCTAAACCTGATTGTTTTTGGTGGTTGTCTTAAAGTACATTACGTAGAGAAATATGACAAAGTGTGAAACGCGGAGCAGAGATTCTGGGCGCTTGCAACTCAGCCTACCTAAAATTTCAAGAAATTTTGGTTAAAAATCAAATAGAACGGACCATTTCGATTGGGTCCGTCCGGAATATTTTGTCCTTCCTGTCATTTCGGTCGGTCGGACGGAAATGTTCCTTTCCATTTGACTAAATTGTTGTCCCCAGTACCGCTCTTCTATATCCCGTCTACGAGTACAATTACCAAACGCGCGGTGGCCTGGGTGGGGTTCTGTGCAACCAGTATGTACAGCTTCATTGGGCACGTGGAATTTTCGAAAATTTCTAACCGGAATTTCTGTTATGGAAAGAAGCCTATTAATTCCTACTCGTATTCCACACTTACGTGGCTTTCTGGCTGACATCGTCGTCGTTATTACTTTGCCATAGTCCTTAGGCCTCTGCGTTTCGGGTCACGTGGCCCAAGCGAGTTTTTTTCTCCCAGCTGTCTCGGATACGTCACCGAAATGTATCGACCGAGAAGGCCCGAGAAGACGCCGTACAGAGACTAGACAAATTGTTGCGTTTATAACGGTCGCTACTGTTTCCGAGAATCTTTTTCCGAGAACACCAGACTAAAGTTTTAGTTTATGACTTAAAGTACTAACAAAGTACAAACATTCCAGGAGTACAGACGGTAACGCGGCTATTTGCTAGGGTGTTCCTTGGAGCAGCCAAAACGCTGGTAATTTTCAGCACGAGCTAGGAGTTTGGGCATCGGACAGAGGCTACACAAATTGTAACTATTATAAGAGTTAAGTAATGCAACAGTCTTTTACTTTTCATGGGTGCTGGAATACCCTCAATTGTTGAAAAGAATTTCAGAGATAGACGCATGCTTTCGAAAACGTCAGGATTTATTTTTTTTTGTACGGAAAACAACTGATTGGCGTAGTAACAGGGCTCTGCAGATTTCAGTGGTTGCGCTTAGCAAATTTCAATTCAGGGCCGTGCTCCTTAACCTCTCTGTTTCTGTTTCTTACCAGTCTTTCTATCCGATAGGACTAGAACGGTAATTTTCCACTCTCTTATGAGTTCAGCAGTGAATAGGCCTAAAGAACAGCAATCTTTTCTTTTGATAGAGAAGAAGTTGCTGCTCAAGTCCAACTACAAACAGGTTTGTCTGCCTGTGACAGAGGCAGTCAATGAACATGATAACAGACAGGGTATTAACTACACGATGTAGCGCGGGTGATAACTAAATAAAGTTGGGATATGGTGATTAATGGGACTTTGTGACGCTATTTGCTATCTTTAAAAAAGTAAAACGCGCCTTTGCATCAATTGCATTTAGGCAATGAATCTTTTTCTTGTCGTCTCTTTTCACGGATGGCAAGGAAGGACATGTATTGAAACTTGAAAAATTTTGGCCAACCTTTGCCAGTTTTAATGCCATGGTTACAAAAATCAAAAAAATGTTATAGTTACTGCTCCATGGTAAAATTTGTTTGATATCTTTCATATCTCTAAGAGAGCATTTTGTGTATTGTAAAGGCACTGAGTAATGACCTGAGGACCTTAATTGACCTAAAACGGCAACACCCTCGTGACACGGCCCCTTTATGTTAGCAGGTATAATGAGAGATTTTTGTAAAATTAAAAGTCCAGTGTTTCTCTTTCTTTTAAAATTATATGTGACTGGTTTAACCCGTCCTAAGATTCACCATTGTTTGGAGGAGGTCGAGGAAGTCCGTTTCCTCCTGCTCATGAGAAGTATTCATCTTTTCTGCACGTCGAGATAGAACAAAGAGTCTTTTCTCAACCTTTTCCAGCCTCTCTTCCGTACACTTAATGATACTTTCAGAATTTAAACAAAAGGGTTCCGCTTCCGATTGACACATATTGACAAATGTTGCTTCATCACAGTATAACTTGAATTCGGGCCGCTTTTTGTTGCCCTTAAAAACTTCCATAAATCTCTCCCCAATAAAGCGTGCCATCTCAAGTTCCTCCGCACTCTCTTCTGCGTTTGCTTTTGCATCAGAGTAGGACTCGTTAAGAACAGACACTAGCATATTCATAAGGAATACAGTCATCATTAACATGTACATGAAAGCGAACGAAGGCCCCAAGAATGGATTCTCACTTCGAAGGCCACTCAGTGGGACAGCCTTTCCCAGAAGAAACTCAAACTGAGACATTACGGAATTGATGTAGCTGGAATACTCTTCCACTGTACGGCCGAAAAACCTCATTCCCGATATTACGAAAGCGTTAAAGATGATCACGAAGAAACCCACGTAGGACAACTGGTAGCCAACAGACTGGCGGAAAGATGAAAATAAGTATATGACATAAGGGTTAAAACGGATCAGGTTCAGCATCTTAACCGTAACCATAAAAATAGCAAAAGCAGTTGCAATGTTTTCCCAGTTGGCCCAATCAAGAGCAGCATGAAAATGTACAATTTCATAGGGATTATTCCGAATGGCTTTGATGCTCTTTAGAACAGTCTTGGATCGAATCATATAAAACGCCACTGACGCTACAGAGGAAATGATCATTAAGAAATCAACCATATTCCAAACTGATTTGAAAAATCCAAGTCGTTGTCGGTAAAGATGGACTAACATTAAGATAAAGTAATAAAGCGCCATGGCCATGAAAAGAAATTGGCAAATTAGGTAGAACAGCAGAGCGCCAGACTCTGTTGTGTACAACTCCACTGTGTCAACCCTTCTAGTAGTATAGGCGGCACCGGTGGCGATAACCTCGTAAAAATACGTGGCAATGCTGAGGAGGTTCGTGTTCACGTTGAACACCGCGAACTCCAGGATCACTGCTCGTGTTTGGCGGTCAACCCATCCATGACCGAAAGTTTCCCCCAGGACACCTTGGGCAGTTGCTTCGTCATATCCCAAGACGGCGACATAACCACCTCCTTCATAAGTGTTGTAGGTACCTTTAATGGGATTATTATTCAGCTCTTCACTTGTTTTGTAACGCCAAGGTTTTGGGCACAGGTTTAGAGCCTCGGGCCACGACGTATTATGAGGAAGTGGTTTCCAGCCTGGAAGACGCAGGGGTGTGGTTTCTTCGTGTTTGCTGGAGTAGTCGTGATAGCAGTCTTGGATAAGTTCAGGAAGGGACTTACAAGAATCTGGGAAAAAACATAACAGTTGCAATGAGCTTTTTGATTCTGACATTTTATTGTTAAAAGGAACATCTTTGATGAATGAAGAATTCAAAATATATAAGGAAAAAAAGAGAATTCTTCGATATTATAAACGACTCCTTTTAAGCAGTCGCAAACTGAATAGCATTAAATTTGCTGGGTGTTGATGGTGCCAGTGAGCCACCTTTCGATAGAATTGAGAAAATCGTATATATAGAGATCCTTTCGGAAGGTACTACATGAGCGACGGTTACTGGACATCTCCGTGTACGTCACCATAACAGCAGAAGTGTCAACAGTAGATATTCAGTGGTACAAAAAGAACACTGTCATTGTTTAGGCTTTGAGGTTGATTGGCGTATCAGCTTTTCACCGGCTACATGTGGGCAAGTGTATTCCTTCGTATAAACTGAACTACCAGTTTAAGGGAATTTGATTTTGTTGCCGATTGTTTCGTTCATGATGCATGGTAATAGCTTGCTGCAACTCACTTGCCTCTTTTAATCCTCAATTGTCTCATCCACGGCATGCCAATCAGTATGGATATCTTGTTCCCAATGTATATGTCTTCATCCTGAAGTCCATTGTACCATGATCGGTTATAAATGTTTGGGAGAAACTCTTGCCTTAGCCAACCATCTAGTTTTTGACTGCCTGTTACCTGAAAAAAAAAATCCGCGAACGATAGTCATAATGGATAACGACACATTGGCGGGTAAGAAATATAAAAAATTAAGGGTTCATTCTTACTC